ACAATCGGGTAGGTCCATCAATAAGGCAATTTATTAATTCATTGATACTAATTAGTTTATTAATTCATTGATAAGGGACGGGCAAGCAGCGCTGGGAAGTCCATGTTCCACCAACACGTCCATCCCACCCCTGGTCACTGCCCCTTTTATAGGCAGTTCCTTGGTGGGCTGTGTCATGCCTACTGTGGTGGGGCACAAGTCTAAGCAAACCTGAACATGTTGGCGAGCACTCAGGCAGCAGTGGCTACAAGCCCCCACCAGGTCTGGACAAGGCTCAGGTTACACTCCTAGCAAGCAGGTAACAGCAGTAACAAGTCTCTTCATATTCACACAAGCCCGCATTTTCCTTGTACATAAAAAGTGGATACAATTCATGATTATAGTGGCAAAAAATACATAACAGCAAAAAGCCAGCAATTCACAGCAAAGTGATTTTAACAAATATGAAATCGTTATATTTTCCTGTGTCTCATGTCCACACTTTAAGTTCAGTATTCTTGTTTATACTGATCCCGCGGTGTGTTTCCATGATGACACAAACCACTGTGTAACATCTCACACTGGCGTTATCCTGGCGGTCCCCAGCCAGCAAGGGCTGCCTGCTGCTTGTCCCTGTTTTTCCTGTGAGCTGTGGAGGTGGGCACAGGGCTGGGCTGGTGGCAGCAGGGCTGGCTCACTGCCACCCCACTCGCCTTGCATGTCACCAGCGCTGCTCGTGCTGTGCTCCTGGAGCTGAGCAGGTGACACCAGCCCTATCTCTCCTCATCTGCTGGGGTGGCTCAGCTCAGGGCTGAGCCCTTGTGCTGCCACCCACTCAGGTTTAGCTCAAACCACTCCTGGCCCAGGAGCTGCGAGGAGCAGCTGGAGCATTTGGATTCCTTCTCCTGTATTCAGGACTGAAACTGCTCATGCAGCACAAGTCAGAGCTCAGTCCCAGCACCCCAGTGAGGTTATTGCTGTCCCAGTTAACACCAGTTGCATGCAGGCAGGGCTGAGCAGCCACTGTCTTTCAAGGAAGATCCTTATCTGGGGAGGTTCTCTGGTTCTGTGTCACAGAGCAGTGTGTACTTGCTTGTGTATGTAAGGTTGTACTTGGTGCAGCCCCAGCCATTGATCTTGGTCCAGGGTTATCCTGTGCAGTGTTGTTCACTTTGGGGGGTTTTGGGACAGCCAGAGAGATCCCTGCTTTCCCATTTTTTTACCCCCAGAACCTTTATTCAGAAGAAAAATGTCTTTCCAATTTCTTTACCCCAGAACCTTTATTCAAAAGAAAAATGGCTTAGGCAGAAAAAGCAGCCTGGAATTAAGAGTGCCTGATAAGCTTGAATTCAGAAGAACCCCCCAACCCCTGCCTAAGCCCTGCTGAACTGACAGTAAAAATCTTGTGAGCAACCTCTCACACTGATTTTGTGGCATAACTGGCATTATAGTTCTTTTCCCAGATATTGTTTCCCTAAAAAATCCCAATTCTGTGCATGTTTTTAGAGTGGTTATCTCCAAGCCCAAACAGGCAGAATCTTTATCTGATGGATTTGCAGTGGTACTCACATTTCCTTTGTCTCTGCCCAGCTGAGACTGGGTCTGGAGGGCCCTAAGCCAGTCCAGCAGCCCAGTGTGGGGTTCACCCACCACCTCAGGTGGGGAACCTGACACTTTTTGTACTGAGAGGAAGTAGGAGCCTGTAGAAAACATGTCATTTGGGAACTGTTAAATCTCCAAAACTTGAAGGTTTTAAGCTTTCTGTGCTGTCAGGCACTGACCCCCTGGAGAACACTGCTTTTGACCTGAGGCCTTAAAAAAGGATTCTAAATTTGAGTGATGGAGTTGAAATCACAAGTGTGTAATGAAATAAAAGTATGTGCTTTCACATAGTAATAGGTTTTAAATTTGAAGTTTTTATAGTATAGTAATAAGTATAAGACAATATAAAAGATTTTAAGTGGTGTCTTTTCTGGTGTTCATGTTCCTTCTTCTTCCTTCTTTCTTATGAGTTTCAAGTAATAGTTTCTAGTTAGTCAATATCACACTAAGGTCATGAAAATTTAGTTATCAAGTTAAAAGTATAAATAATATAAGTGTTAATTCTCTATTAAACTATTTAACTTTAAGAAACCTTGTAGCAGCTAAATCTTACTCCATTTTCCTCGCTTCTAGCAAGTAGCTGGAAGTGCTGTTAAACCCTCTGTACTTTTTAATAAAATTTAATAAACAGCCAAGCCCAAACACAAGAAAAAACATTTCCTTCATATATTTTTAATCCTAGCTCTAAGTGAAAGCAAAAAAAATCTAAAACCACTAATTAAGTAGTGCAAAACTCCCATCAGTGTTAGAGGGAACCCCTGCCTGAGGGGAATCCTCAGTGAATCAGAGGAGCAGCAAATCCTGATCTCTGATGGAAAGGCTTGTTCCCTTTTAAGCCTGAATCATCTCTTGTTCTTGTACCTTCCTGCACAGGCAAAGTTTGCAGCCTGGAGATAATGCCAGCCCTTCGAGGGCCTTCTGACACAATTCACAGCCATCCTTCCCAGGGACACCTTCCACTCCCTCCCTTACTCTAAAGCTGAAAAAAGGGAGGGGGATTTTTGGAAGGCTGTGAATCCACCAAGGAAAAGCTGCAGGAAAGATTGAACTCCTTTCACCAGCCATCCCTGGGCAGTGTGGGGTAAAACCTTGCTCTGCTCTTTAGTGGCTGTGACCAGTGTGAGAGGCTGACCACAAACTGCAGCAGATGCTGGAACTTCAGCAGATGTTTGAGGGTTCCTCTGAATTCAAGCTTAGGTTCACTCCAATTCTAGGCCACTTGGGCTTGTTTGGGTTTGTTACATGATCTGAGATCGGAGATAGAAAAGTGCTGATTTTGGTAGGCCTTGGTCTCTCTAAATGGGTTAACTTCAGGCTGAGGGGGATTTTCGTGTTTACCCAGCAGACTCTGAATTATTGACGGATTTTGTGACGATATCACAAGCCTGGTGGTATCTGATTTGTGCTTAGATTCTCGTGTTATTCCAGAAGCTGCACTTCTCTAAGGTTTCAGAATTTCTGTTTCCCTCCCTGGTTATGGAAGAATTTACAAAACAAACCTCTGAAACAACTACTGGGGGAGGGGGAGCAGGGTGGGGGGGATGGAGAGAGAGCAATAATCTATTATTTTAGGAGCTCCCTGTTCAGAGCAGGGGAGGTTAGCACACACCATCTTTCAGCTGTGTGCTCAGTGACCACACACCACTGCTGGGTGGCTTTTGAGCACTGAGTGCCCAGAGTAGGTGACTCTGTAGCTTTGTTTTGGAGCCTGCTCCATCAGCTCACATTAAAGTGGGGGCTGCTCTCAGTGCGGGAGGTTCCTCCTTCGGTTTCTGCTCTGCCACTCACAAAGGCAGCTGTGTTGTGTGTGGTTAACTGAGCTCCCTCCAGAGCAGGCAGCCCTTGCCAGATGCACTTTGAGTCAGGCAGGGCTGTGCCAAAGCTATCAGGAGCCCGGCACTCCTCGCTTGGAAAACCCGAGCACATCCACACAAGGAAACTGATAGTCAGAACTTTTGGTCAATATTTGGAGTTTCAGCAAGAGGGGGGAAAAAAATTAAAAAAAAAAAAAATTTAAAAAAAAAAAAAAGGATAACAATTTCCTGTTTTTAAGCATTTCTAGAAATGCAGAGTTTGGTAACACACCAGGCCTTGACTTCCCACAAAATAAACAAAAAGTGTAAAGTAATGCATTTTTTTCCCCACCACGAACACCCATAACTGTGACCTACTCTGGCTGCTTCTCCTTCAGCAGCAACCTCAAAACACAAACAGGGCACAAACCCTCCGAAAGGAGATGTAGAGACCTTCAGATGGCACTGCAGAGGTGCTCCCACTACACACCAGGTGGGCTGGGAGCAGCAGGTGGGCAGGGACTCACTGGGACTGGGGCTGGACCTGCTCACAGCGAGCATTTGGGGTGACACAGCCCCATGAGGTGACGCAGCCCTGTAGGGTGACACAGCCTCGTGAGTTGACACAGCCCATGAGGTGACACAGCCCTGTAGGGTGACACAACCCTGTAGGGTGACACAGCCCTGTGAGGAGCCACAGCCCCACAGAGTGACACAGCCCTGTGAGGTGACACAGCCCTGTAGGGTGACACAGCCCCATGAGGTGACACAGCCCTGTGGGGTGACACAGCCCCATAGAGTGACACAGCCCTGTGAGGTGACACAGCCCCATGAGGTGACACAGCCCGTGAGGTGACACAGCCCTGCAGGGTGACACAGCTCTGTAGGGTGACACAGCCCTGCAGGGTGACA